AGCAATTTAAAAACGGAAACAGACATGGAAGCAACGGATGAAATTATTTTACAGGGCCCGGTGAACGATAGATTAGCCTATATACGAAGAGAGGACCGAATGCAACATGAAATAAATTAAACAAGCACAACAGCGATCGAGAATAATGAGGTCGTTCCCAAGGGACGGAAAACTCATAAGCGTCAGTTATATACACTTACAAGAAAGCAATCACCGTTCTCTGTTACAGAACTCAACGACAGCCCGCCAAGGATATTATTGTTGTAAATTACGGAACACCAATAATAATAAATAATGAATCAGAAAAATCACAGAACGGGACTCAATAATTGGAGCTGGCAGCTGATACAAGAAAGCTTAGCAATCGAAGAGGCGAGAAAAGTGAAAGGTATCCAAAAGTTAACGGAAGCAGACGAGGTAGCGGGTAATACCGAGACCTCTGAGAAAGGTGTCTTCGAAAACAGAGGTGGTGAAGTATCGGAGAGAGCCGATCAAGCAGGAGAGAGATGGAAGGAAGAAGAGAGAGAAGGAGAGCCACCACAGTATGAGCATGCAGTGAATTAGCCGCTCACCGACGGTACTAATAAATATAATTAAAAAATGCAAGGGAAGAAATAATTATTGGAGGAACAGAATGAAAATAAGCGCAACATGGAAATAGAATACACATGTTCGGGTATATCAAACGATCAAGCAAAAAATGGTGAGAAAAAATTGTGAGGCCGATCACTACTGTAAAGGATGATCATATTTCCCAAGGAATGACGGACGGAAAATTAGGTTACATTGTGAAAGAATCAGGGTTTCGAAGGAGAGTAAAAACAATGAGTACACCTGCAGCAGTACTGATTGAGGAAAGAAAGCGAAAGTTGTGCAAGAGGCTGCTTGTTAGACAAAAGCCGAATTTTTCGATTATGCCGCCAATAACGAACCCTTCGAAGAAGATAATAATAGATAATTGTGACATACCACAAACGTCAAACAGTACAACGGCACAAAACGTGGAAGAAGAAGAATGTAGGTCAGCGAAACCCTCAAGGAGCACAGAAACAAACTTCTTTCCAACAACAGAAGTGGACAAGGATTCGAATGTACACGATTTGTTGGAGGAAAGATCAAACGAACTGCGGGCGCCATTTATGATTGACGTAAGGAGGCGAGATGTAGAGGAAAGGCTGGTAACGAGGATTAACGTGAGGGAGCCCAACGGAAACATACCTGAGGAAAAAGCGTCACAGGAGAAGGGGGAAAAGGCAGACTCAACGTTGCGTAAAATTTATAAGCGAGTCCAGTTTGAAGAACCCGGGGATCAAACAGTAAAAGAGCCCAACTTACCATTAGACACAAAGGCGCTGGCAGACAATTGGCTGGCGTATCTTAACGATAATACACGAAGAGAAACGAATTAATGCATTCAACCTCATAAAATACTTTTTAAAGTGTCAGGGCTATTTTATAGCCTAATATTTTTATTTAATCTTAAATTCTCAACTGATGAGCTGAGAATATTAAAAAATTCAGAATACTTGCAAAAGTGTAGAGAGCCAGAAAAAATAGAAAATATACTAAATTTGCGTAGAGAATATGAAAATGGGTGATGTTTTTACATATTTTCGAAAGAATTCAAGAAAAACGCCTTAAGAAAAATTAAACCAGGGAAGTTATATTTATTCGCACTATATTGCAACGAACAAAGAAGAGGTCGGCTACGTACATCTAGAAGGTAACGGCGAGAACACCTATTACATGCCTCTAATAAAAAATTCTAACACCGAATCGAAAAGTGATTCACATAACAAAAAGCACATAAGGCCCCCACCTGAACCACCACCACCACCAGACCCTTAAAGCGACTGTTAGCCATTAACTAAAGCTAGTACAACATTAATAGTTATGTTATAATAATAATAATAATAGTAATAATAATAATAATTATAGTAATATAAATA